AATGACGATGTTGCGGAAGATCCTGTTGAAGAAGTATAATTAAAATGAAAAGATGTTGTGAGAATCGACCCTCTCTATTTCTCTGGCGTGTTTTTATATGTATTTCATATTTATATAAACCAAATGTTAAAATCCCATATTTTTTGTAAATGCATTTTATGTAGCATAAATGTAAGAACAATAAATTCTTTTTTGGGAGAATTAGGAGACTGTATCCTGTGTATTATACCCGTATTCTAGTACTCTCAAGATGATCACTTGCAAAAATCAAATAAAAACAGAGAAATAATACAGAATAGCAGAAAGATGAACTAAATGTCCGTTTTAAAATAATAACAACAAGAAAAAATATTTTGATCTTTGATGGAATTTAAACGTGATACACCAAAAAATAACAAAAACAACAACTAATAAATGTTAATTTTTTTCTTAAAAACCAAATTAGAAAATTGTTTGAAAATGATTTTGTTTTAACAGCCAAAGAGACCTATAAGGATCAATGGGAAAACAGACGCACCTCTTGGGGTAGTTTTTGGTCAGAATTTGTTCTACATCGGCCTTTGTGAACTTCATCTGTCCAAAATAAGCAGTGTTAATCAGCCCAATCGCCAAATTGTGGGAGAAATTCTATTCCCACGGAAAGCATTTCTCTCTCGAAAAATCCTCCAATCGTGGAAAATATAGGAGTAAAATTTTTGGAATATGGCATCTATTTTTAATCTTTGTCTTTTTCATACTTTGTGTACCCTTATTTGCTTGCGCAAATTTAAAGTGTTTGTGTTGTAAGAAATAAATAAAAAGAAATAATGAAATGAAACCAATAAATGAATCTTTACGATTGGGGAAAAGGGAGAAGAAATTACGCACGGAATTATTTTTGACGATTGGGCTGATATTCTAATATGAATAAAAACAACACAGTTCTATTTTCCTTTTATTTTATTGTGCCAATCGATATAAAATCTATGGCATTAATTAAACAAATAATTCAATGGAAAAATATAACAAAAATATGAAAAGAATTTATATATTAAGGCCAATGCCTTGCTTCTAAATTAGGTAATTTATTATATTACGGACTACAAACTACTGATATACAGTGCTAGTAATTAGTTCAATACGACTCCCATTTTGTTTACCAAATATTCCACAATAAATATGCCTAGATAGGAAAATAAAATCCAACTTAAACTTATATTTTTGTTACACCAAAATAAAGGTAACCTTCGGCAGAGCAGCAAGTAACACAAATTACTCCGAAAAATATCAAATATCAATCAATTTTCTACTTGATTGTTTGCATTTTTCTCGTGGCGAACATTTGGAATATTTTGAATAGCAAAATATTTGATAAAACTTTCCCCCCATATATTCCTTGCGCTTCTTGCATTTATTCCTTGCGTTTCTTGACCTTTCCACTCTTCACAGAATGTAATGTTGTATCCACTTTATCTTTACCATTTGGTGTACCTTTTGATGACTTCTTTTTGCCACGTGACTTTCCCAGAGCATTAAAATCAATAGCCTCATCATCATCTTCATTGCCATATTTGGCCATTAATTTATCCATAAGAGAATTAAAACCTTCTTCACGTGATTTTTGCCGGCACATGATAGCTTGTTCCAAACTACCACCACCACTGCCATTTTCAGCTTTCTTTTTATTTTTCGCCTCAATTTTAGCCAATATTTCTTTGGCCTCCTTCGATTCACGGGCATATTTCTTATGACGTTTCTTACGTTTCAATTCGGGTTCATGGGTGAAAATTTTATATTCTGGTACCTCACCATCATCGATCATTTTACGTACAATTTCCTGTATACGTGGTTCATCTTCCACCTTCATAAATGGCACAGAATTCATCATATGGTTAATACAACCCTTACCATTCAAGTAGGCCTTCTTGATGTCGGTCTTTTCCAAATCTGAACCAACATAGGATTTTTCATAATTATTAATATCTTCTGTGGTAATGGGTTTGAAAATTTTCTGCCACAACTCTAACCAATTATTCAATTTGCCTTCCAAATTCTCATCGTCATCATCAATGATACCCTGTTCATCGTACAGAGCTCTTTTATCCTTATCGGTTAGAGTTTGATATAGTTTGGATAGAAGTTTAAATTTTTCTGTAGCATCTTTCTTTTGGGCTTCGGGTACACGATCCGGATGTACTAACAGTGATAATTTGTAATAGGCCTTCTTCAATTCTTTTTCGGTGGCAGTTTTTTCTACTTGAAATAATTTATATATGTCCTTCGTGTCGAAGAGTTTTTCACAGAGTTCCAGGGTGGACATTTTTGATGATGGTTATTGGCTGAAAAAAAATATAAAACAATTGTTAGTAAAATCATGTAAATTTATTTAATATAGAAAAAAGACACAAGCGGTTGATCATGTTCATATATTATATATCCCAAAAGGAAATCAGCACTTAAGCTAGAAAATATCGAATCTTCGTGAATTTTTTGATCGATTGGTAAACTTTGTTTGGGTGTCTTTCCATGATGAAATGCAAAAAAGGCAATTAATTCAAGTATATCTACATTGCTCAGCATGTATATCCTATGTAATTCAGAAGATGGAAATGCCAATTCTTCTTGGAAATGACTATGTATTTGTCACTTTCATATGTATCGATCAAAGACCCATGTTTACCATGCCGCTCTAGGGCTTATAAAACAACAATATTGAGTTTTTGAACAACAGTAGGCTTTACAATCCGAGTCTCCTTCGATCAAACATAACATTTTATACTACTTTAACTGATTTTTGAATATTTCACCTAGATATTTAGTCCCATGTAGTCTATTTTCAGAACAATAGTGAGAAGAGTATGCCGGGGATTACTTGGAACCAACAATAAAATACTTTGCAAATTCGAGATACATAAACAAAAACATGCATGCTAGAAATGGATGGCAAGGTGTGATCATTCCATGTCTACAACAAAATTAAGCACCTTTCCTGGAATTTTCTTCGTTTGACTCGCGAGTATCGTAAACAATGGGCAGCATTCCCGCCAATATTTCGCATATACAAATATCCCATTTCTAGAAAAAAAATGACAACTTACCCAAGTACGTAAAAATTATTTTATTTTGTAAGACTCTCTTCCTCTCTTTCGGATGCTTCTCACAGAACCACACTTGATAACAATTTTTTCTTCTTTTCACAGTTTTAATTTTTGTATAAATTAAATAAATTAAATTTCGCAAATTTGGCAAATTCCTTCCCGGACCAAATGTAAGCAATTTTTAAATGTAAACAATATATAGGGGTAAGTAGATCGACTTTTGACAAAGCACTAGACAAATAGTGTTGTTATTTTGTTGAGTAATTGGCGCCACAACTGCTGTTGCTTAAGCTGACTATACACTATCATATTAGTATGTGTACATTGTACTGGATTTCGTAGTGGGTTTAAATCGTTAATTCTATTGCATATATGTCAAATAAATCCTCATAAAGTAGGTTAACCCGGTAAAAAAAAGTTCTTATGTACATGCCGTTTACCATTATAGCTAGGTCAAGGTAGGTCATAGCAACTTATGAATTACAATTTCATATTTTGGTTTGTTCTGTCAAAGTCGTATACAGAACGTATGACTGTGTATGCAATGATTTGAAAAATGTATATATTCTAAAATCCATTTGTTGAAAGATGAATTTTACAACATTGGTAGATGTATTGGTCTGTTCCCCTAATGCAATAATCTACTACTGTTTACTACGATAACGAATTTCCCATTATAATATCGAAGGAAATAGTAAAATCTAGTAGATTCTTGCAGTACTGAAACAGACCATATATCATATTCCTAGCTCTATATTGAAAAGAATACCTGGCATTTCATAATTTTTTTTTTGCATTATTAGAAAATTGTTAAAAATATTTCAAATGAACAGAACTACTTGTTGCATTGTTCTTTATTTGTTCTGACATTATGGCCCACAACGAAGAGGTTATTAATTCCTTCTTGAATAAATATACCCAGTCCTGTATAATTGTACCATGGATCATAACACGATAAAAGCAGAATGGATCTGTTCCGCCATCAACAACAACAACAACAAGCTGACGATAATATTAATGATTAAAATTGATGTGTGTTGACCAAACCTTTATTTATGTTTATAAATGTTTTCTGATTCAAAACAAAAATAAATGACATATTTTTCAAAACCAATGACGTAACAACGCGAATTTTACAAAAACAGGCTGTAATGCTTAAAATTGATGTGTGTTGCACTTCGGTGTTTACGCGACAAGAAAAAACGCACAACGCGAACATTCTGCTTAGCACTTCAACGCGATAAGAAAAAACGCGTAACGCGATCATTGTACGGAGCCATTCATTCATCATGGTTGACCGTTCGTAAAATAAATTGTCTCTTCCCGTACTGCAAGAATCCACAAGATTTTACTATTTACTTAGATATCATATCATAAAACAAAATTCGTTATCTTAGTAAAAAGTAGTAGATTCTTGCAGTACGGGGACAGACCAAAAACTTGACAATAATACAAGGTAGGGCAACTTGAGGTAAATAAGAAAAAGGCAACTACGCAGGTGATGGCATCTTCTGTCAAATATAAAAAACTTTGAAATGTTATGATTTCTTCCAAAATCCACTAGGGAATATCATAAAATGTTTGTTTCATTCAACAAAATTATTACATCCAAACTCGGCATTTATCAACCTTGCCTAACACAATTAATTGCAACGCCGTTGATTGAACATGTGTGTTACTTTGTTCTGCATTCAGTTGTTTTGTTTTGGACTTGATGCGGCTTGCCTGCAGTCTCCATTCCACATCATTCGTAAATATTTCGTGTATCTACTTTGAGTTGTTCTTTATCGGCCATTGTGTCTTCTCCCCCATTTGTTAGCAAGTGGAACGTTTTTCATGTTTTCTTGTTTGCGAACAACGCTGTGAAATTATTTACAAATTTTATGTAGTTTTATTGGAATCTGCAAAGAAATAGACACAAAAATGTCCAATAAAACTAATCACAAGTGTCGTCTCTGTTTAGTTGATTCAGAGCCGGATAAAATGCAAGATTTATTCGCAAAGGTAGGCTCAAAGTCCCAGAATAAGACCATTGAAGACATTCGAACCGATGATGAGTTTTCCCAATTGCCTCTGTTGGATAAAGTGGAATATTGTTGTGGTGTTAAGGTAATATGAGACATTGTATTTGGTTATTTATCTTTATTAACAAAAGCTTTGAATTTTCTTTTATATGTTTTCAGCTACTTCCCAAACCCCAAATGCCCACCAAAATATGTACGAAGTGTTTAAACATTGTAAATATGTGGTCGAATTTTCGTCAAATGTGTCGCAATTCCCAGGCATTTTTAGCCTCACAAATACACCTGGCCATCGAAGAGGAGGTTGTGGTTGGTAGCATTAAAAATCTGCAAAAGGTACGCAATGAACTACTTAAGAAAACTGAAGCTCAGCAGCAACACAAAAGGGAACAACAAATTGCATCACATACGAATAGTACAACCCCAGCAGCAGATCCAGATCTTGATATTGATTATCTTGTTGAAGAGGTAAATCAACAATTGGAAAATGAAGATTCCATGGGTAATGATGGTGGTGATGATTACGATATGTATGTAGATGATTTCGACAATGATGATGAGGATCATGATCCAGATTTTAAACCTTTTAAAAATAAACAAAACACCAACATTACACGACAGCATTACGATTTATCCAAGCTTAATCAAATTGATTTCTCGGAGATATTTACACCCGAAGATTGTGCCGAAGCATATGATTATTTAAATGCCGGTAATGATGATGAATTGGAAAAAATCATAGAACATTGTGCCACTAAAAATGTTGCCTTACAAACCCTAAGGCGAAAGGCCATAATCTCAAGAACCAGAGAACAAATTTGCACAAAGAAGTCACCGAAATATAAAAAGAAACCAGCTGCGGATAAATTGCCAAAACCATCGATGTTTATGTGTAATATTTGTGGTAATGTTTATAGCAAGAAACCACTATTCCAATATCATATGCGTATGCATTCCGATGTTAAACCATATCAGTGCGAGTGAGTGCATATTATTTGAATGTTTATAGGAAAATTATATTAAAAAAATTATTTTTATTTTAGAATTTGCAATAAGTCATATCGCATAATGAGCGATCTAAGAAATCACATGTACAGGCATACAGGTGAACGGCCATTTAAATGTAAATTCTGTGATCGCCACTTTATGGACAGAAGTTCCAGGCATCGTCACGAAAGGTATAATTTTATATTTATGTGTATTTTAATAAAATATGTAACACATTTATTATTTTATTACAACCACAGAGTTCACACCAATTCACGTCCTTATACATGCAATGTATGCAGCAAAAGTTTTACATATTCGGCTATTCTAAAGAATCATATGAAATTACATACTGGAGAAAAGGATTATATGTAAGTATATAACTTATTATTTATTATTATTAATTTTGAAAATTAAAGAATATTTGTTATTTTCATTTCATCAAAATAGTTGTGCTGTTTGCAATAAGTCATTTACATTGGCCCATCAGCTGAAAGCACACATGCTGACACTAACACATCGCCAAAAGGAAGCAGCTTTTGAAGCCCAAGGTTATAAAGTAATATTTGAAGCTGTCGAAATGACCAAGACAACAAAAAATTAAATACATTATTGGGAAGAATAAAAAAATAAAAATATGAAAATGGTATTAAGAAACGTCTTTAGTATGTACATATATATGAATAAAATATATACTAGAAATTAAGAGAAAACAAACGCATATTTTAAATAAGGGTGTTATACAGGAAGATATTTGCCTTTTTTATTTACAATTCTAAATGTCAATACCCTGCTGACAGTAGCAACAAGTAATGCGATGGAGAACTATCGGGAAAAAACGAAAGAGGAGAAACGTATTTTCAGAAAAAAGAAGAAAGAGCATGAAAGTCGTGAGCGTGAACAAATCGAGATGTACAGGAGTCAGAATGAATTCCGAAAATTCTACCAACGGGTAAACACCAAACCGAAGGCTTTGGTGCAGGCACATCCTCCTGTAGAGATGAAGAAGGAAACCTGGTGACAGATACAGACAGCGTGCTGAGGATCTGGAAGGAGCATTTTGAAAAACTTCTGGTATCAAATAGTAGCGGTGAAGAGGATACCCCCATACCAATAACAGATGACGGTAAAGAATGTATACCACCTAGCCAAGATGAAGTCAGAATAGCAATCAATCGGCTGAAGAATAATAAAGCAGCAGGTGCCGATTGGTTATAAGCCGAACTATTCAAGACAATTTGGCTAGAAGAATGCACAAAAAAGGAGACACGACGATATGTGCCAACTACAGAGGAATAATTCTCCTTCCCCTCTTATATAAAGTACTATCCAGCGTACTGTGTGAACGACTGAAGCCAGTGGTCAATGACATTATTGGACCATACCAATGCGACTTCAGACCAAATCCTGGAAAAAACCCACGAAAAACACATCGACACATTCCACCTATCAGCAGTTAAAGTCGGAAAGGACCTCTCGGAGCCCGTTAATACCGGACGAGGATTCAGACAAGGTGATAGTTTGTCGTGTGACCTTTTTAACATCCTGCTGGAAAAGGTCATACGAGACGCAAAAGTGAACAGAAATGGCACTCTGTACACCAAACGCCGATGACATCGACATAATGGGTCGAACACTGAGAGCGGTAACAGCCACCTTTGAACATATTGAGAAGGAGCATGCCAAAGTGGGTCTGGCAGTAAACGGCGAGAAGACCTAGCTGAGACGTCCAGTAGACTCGGACCAACTGTGGAACATGAGAACTACAGCTTCGAGTTATTCAAAGATGTTATGTACCTTGGTATCGCCATAAACAAAACGAATGACATCAGTTTTGAAATTCGGAGAAGGATAGTGATGACCAACAGATGCTACTATGGTCTGAGCAAACAACTCAACAGAAAGGCCACCTCCCGCCAGACCAAACTCACACTCTACAAGACGCTGGATCTGAAGCATGGGTACTTGCACAAGCAGATGAGGCAGCTCTTGGAATGTTTGAGAGAAAAATTCTCCGAAAGATCTATGGGCCAATTTCCGTTGACATTGAATATCGCCGTCGAATGAACCATGAGTTGTACCAGCTATTCTCGGACATCGACATTGTTAGACGTATTGTGCTGCAACGACTACGTTGCTTAGGTCATGTTGTGAGAATGTATGAAGATGCCCCAGCCCAGAAGGCATAAAAAAGCGAATAACCTGATGGTTCACGCAGAAGGGAAAGGCCACGAATAAGATGGAAAGACCAAGTGGAAGACAACATTGCCGAATATGGCCTTTCAAATTGGAAAAACTGCGCAAAATACCGACGCGCCTGGAATTTTTTTTTAAGTTTGGCTTATGGAACGAAAGTTCTGCCACAAGCCTGCTAATTAAGTATTTACCTTCTGACCACTTCCTAATAATTTTTTATAGAAAAAAATCTATGAAAATTTTCCTTAGTCCTTGAAACCAATATTTTACAGATCCAACTTTTCGATAGATTAATTGAAACAAGTCTAGTTTAGGGCCCCCTCGCTGATCGTTTTGTAACTTTTACCACATGCAGTCCTTGGTATCGGTATTTCCGATAGATGCCTCAGTAAATTTTAAAATCCCAGAGAAAATATGTGCCCCAACGGACCTTTGGGGACCCGTATCACCGGAAATACCGATTTCCGCAAGAAAAAAAGTATATCGTTGTAATCAGGACCCCAAGGACTACATTTGACAAAAATTTCAAAACGGTCCTCGAGAGGGACCTAAACTAGACTTTAGCCGATTAATTTCTTTAATGAAAATAATTTAAAAAATAAACCTTTTTATGATTACAAAAAAATATATATTTACATATATTTTGTTCTTACACACTATTTATTATCAATATATTGCTGCTTAATTGTTTTTATGTTTTTACTAAATTCTAAATAACAAAAATAAAATGTATGCCACATTTACGACGTATCTATGTATTTGGTGTTTTCAATTGCATTTTCTACAGCTTTGTGTAGACTGGTATTTCTATGGGCTTTTAATTGATGGGCGAGTTTAAAGGATTTAGAACATGGATCACACCTGAATAAGAAAAAACAATACAATTTATTTCCAATATAAAAAAGGGAAATACAAATAGTTTACCTATACGGTCGTTCGCCTGTATGGACCTTTAAATGAGCCTGCAAAGTTGTTGCCAATGCAAATGATTTCCCACAGGCATCACAGCTAAATGGTTTTTCATTGGTATGTATTCTGAAAATATTAACAATTAATCCCATTAAAACCACAAATTTAAGTATACCAATCCACCAAAACATACCTTTCATGACGTATATGTGTACTTCGATCGGAAAATCTTCTTCCACAAAATTTACACTCAAATGGTTTCTCGCCTGTGTGAATACGCATATGAGCCTGAAGATTGCAGGCGGTTATAAATCTTTTGAAACAAATTCTAAAAGAAAAACAAATTCAAATTTAATATACATTTTTTTAAATAATTCCACTCTGTTTCTACTCACTCGCATTCGTGTGTCTTTTCTTGACGATGAATTTTCATGTGGACATTTAAAACTTGTCTACTATTAAATGTATTTCCACATATTTCACAGCTAAGTGGTAAGTTATTCTGTATTGATTTTCTTCTGGCAGTCGTCGTTGCCGACACCCTTTTCGATTGGTGCATTTTTATGGGATATTTATTTTCATAATTTAATGTAACATTTTCCTGTTTATTTGCATTTAATGACGGTTCATGTATTATGAACTGATCTATTTCATATTCACAATCAATATTTTGTTGTGAATTGCTTGAATAGGTAGCTTCGAAGTCAAGTTCATCTTTTGTAATAACCGTTGATGATACATTGTCGTCATCATCATTATTTTGACTTTCTTCTTCTTCGCCAAATTGTTCGGATAGCTCCTCATCATTGTCAACAACATCATCATCCTCATCCTGGGTTCCCTCATCCTCAGTAAATGTTACAAATGCAATATTTTCTTCTGAAATATGATCTTCTTTAAGATGTTGTTGTTGTTGTTCATTTGAATGATTTTCGGCCTCGTTGAGATCTTCATTGCTTATAATGTAATAAAGGGATTCATCTTCTTTTTTAACATTACTATCTTTGTCGATTTCTTCTTGGACCACATGTTCATCGGCAAAATTATTATCAAAAGTATCACTGTCAATCATTTCTTGTACCTTTAACATTTTCGAAACAAAATTTGATGTATTTGCATCAATATCACCGTCATCATCAACATGTTCTTCGGATGGTACATTTTTTTCAGGAGTGGCTACATGTTGTTCTGGACTATTATGATCAGAGTTATCAGTTGTTGATGGTACCTTTTGGATTTCATCCGTTAGCTTGGTGAAATAATCTAATTCCTCATCCATCTCATCTTCTTCTTTCTTGCGCTCTCTATTGTGATTCTTAGCAATATTTTCCTTAATATCTTCAGTCTTTTGTCGCTTATTTTTTTCTTTTTTGTCTATAATTTCATTTTTCCGTTTTTTATTTTCATAACTTTTCTCTTCCTCATCAGCGTTTGCTATACTGGGAGCTGATTGAATTTCTGTATCTTCCATACTGTTACCATCATCTTCACAGTAGGAATTATCATCCGATTCTATTCCATCTGTACTCCTTTCCTTTTTAAAGAAATTTGTAGCCGATCTTGTCCGCTCCAATACGGAACGTAGATTTATATTTGATTCCCTACATGTCTTACGAAAGTATACAGCTTGTTTTAATACTGAAATACATTTTCGACAGATTTTCTCGGGTAATCCATCGTTGGGCTTCATCTGGAAATAAATAAAATATAGGTCATGCACACTCGTATAGTTACACTACCGCCAAATACTTACGACCACACCAGAGGACTCAAATATATCTTTGACCAATTTGTTGCTTCCTCCACCATCGCCATCAAATATCGGCTTCATTTGTTCATTGTCTTTTTTGTTCTCCTCCTTAAGGCACACTCTGCATATATTCCACTTTATACTAATTTCCATTGTTTAATCAATAATTTATATTTAGTTGTTTATTTTATTGCTATTTTCTCATAAAATAAAAAATAAACAAATTCTTGTGGCGTCAATCAAGCGTTTGTTTCAACGAATTTAACCAACCAAAATTAAAAGCGTTCCACGTGCTATGAATAATGGGAGGCAGTAGAGAATGACTGATAATCATAAGATCGAAACAAAATGGTGTAAAGCGGTTATCAGCTGATGGGTAGCCCACACAAAAAGGGCTATGCCAGTCGATATTCGTCGTGTCTGTTATGTCCGTTTCCAGAACTCAAAAGATCTTCTATATATTAAAATTGAGGTACAAACTCACTTTTGGGGGTACCTCATTGTTTACGTATCAATTGTCATATCTTTATACTTTTATGCATGATCCAATAAACATATCGTGTCAGAAGCAATCGTTATCGACAATTTTGGAGTAAAGTCCCCAAACTTTCAAATATTTTGTTTACATTTCCACACAATTTAGTCAAAATCATGGCCTATAAATAAGGTCACCACGGGAGACCTGCTGATAATCGATACCTCTCAAGTTTGCTGTCAAAATACATTATTGTGAATTGACTTCCATTATGAAAACGCAAAAAAAGTCGAAATTTTTGACATTAAACTTGAGAAAAAACAGCTGTTTTCCGATTTCGATTGCTATCTTGGTTACCTTATTAATAGATCTTGGTCAAAATCGAAAGCATTTTGACAGATCGGGTGAAATCATCTGACCTTATCGGACGATCTTATTGTTGGATCATGCTTTTATGTCTTTGATGTCCAATTGTATAGGGATGCATAGTTCGTTTAAGCTGTCGATTAGTTTTAGTACAATAATCGAAAATCTATGTTTAGTTTTAGTTTACACTGGGGAATTGAAGCTTAATAACGTTTAGAATTTATGGATAATGTGATAAATTAGTACAAAACTGCTGTTCACTTTACATAGGCCATGTTTATATCAAACTTGTTCTAATATACGTCACTTAAAGTGTGTTTAGATTTACAAATCCATTCCATCCCAAATGTCATTTCCATAGTGTATACGTCAAATCAAATCTTCTCGATGTGTGGACAGGATTAATGTGACTTATACGTTATGGATTTGACGTTTAAAATTGAGTGGAATTGGTATACTAAAGGCGCCTTTAGATTCCACTCGATCTCAGATGTCAATTCTATACGCTATGAAATTGACATTTGAGATTGAGTGAATTTAGTAGTCTAAAAGGTGACTTCTAACAATGGGTCGTTCCCATTTTTAAAGACTAGTAAAACGTTTAATATTTATTATGGAGAAATCGGCGATAACTAATTGTGTGTAAAAGGTAACAGCAAGTGTTGTTGTACAAAAAAACGATACAACAACCACATGAAATTTTGTTGTTGTAAGTTCATGGTCATAATTATGACAGAAAAATGTAAACAAACAAACAAATTATTTCAAATTTTTTTATTTTGAAAATGAAATATTCAGTTTTCAAATAAAAATTGAAAAACATGAATGAAAATATATCAAATTTATATTTCTATCGCTTATAAATAATTTATATTTATAAATATTTTGAAGATTCCTGCCTCTAAATCTTGTATAAACCTTAAATATATGCAAAGGAATTGACAATTGAAACCCACAGGGTTAATGAAATCCGGTTAAATGTAAACGTACTTTAAGCTTTATATTTTGTTTACTTTATTGAAAATATGTTCCAATTTAGATTCCCAATTTTCCTTGCGGTGTTTTTGTTTGCAGGAGAGAAAGGGGAATAATTTGAAACAAATTGCTCGCACCGACAATTTTCTGGCAGTTCGTTTTGTGTATTTTGCTTGTAGTGTCAGTAATTTGAAATACCAATCCAGAACATTTTCGAACATAAAAAACATGCACAAAATATCAAATATATATATATAGTTTTGAAAATTGCCTTGTATAGACGCATAAAGCAATTTCAAAAGGGAACGATACAAATTGCCGCAAGTAAAATCGCCTAATCTAAATCAGGACTATGCCAATCGACATACATTGAATTTTATGGAATTTATTTTTCATATTATTTAAAATTGATAGATGATTTTCAAATTAAAAAGGATTCCCATTATCAAATTCTCAAATGAGACTACCTTCTGTAATTATGCCATGGTTATGGATATAGAACATTATGCAATAATAAGGTGATGTATCAAAACAAAAACTTTTGTTTTTGTCTCAACCATCTGTCAAATTTTTTCTTATAATATTTCACATGGTTGGCAACATTGCTCATCAAATTCAAATGGACTACCTATTTATTGTGCCATGATATAAAGTTTTATATTGTGAAAAAAGGTTCCATTCCTTGTTCGCCATTCATGACTATCAATCTACTTATATTAAAACACAGTATATGGATTTACAATATATATTTTTTATTTTTATTATATATTATTATATTATATTACATATAAATAATCATAGGACTAAATACATTTGTGTTTTTTTTTTAATTGCACAAAATGTAAAGTAAAAAGAACTTAGCATTATTAAAATTGTTATACATTTTTAAGAAATTAGTAACATATTTTTGTTGTGTAGTTAATTTATATATGTGATATCAGTCTCCTAGTAAACCAAGAATATATGTATTTTTTTTTCAAATTAAACAATAAAGTATTATCGATTAGTATAAGATTTTTATAAGGCAAGAACTAGGTAACATAATTAAGTTCAGCCTGGTTGAATGTACAATTTTTTATTACGATACCAATTTTTCCTTCCATAAATCAGTGTAGTTAAATAGCTGATGTCTATATAGACAGACTATTTTATTTTATTGTGGAAAATGCCTGTTATTGAGACATTTCAATAGTTTCCATTCATTTATTTCAACATTTTTATATTATAAATAAATATAATTAATTTGTCATGGAACATTCAGACAAGTGCAAAAATATTTAAATTACTAATTTAATCTCATTTTGTTTATAAAATTCTTATAGAACATTTAAATAAATACAAGCAATCGTTTTATATAAACAATAATTTTTTAATACCAGAAATTTTAAATAAAGAAAACATAAAAATAATAATGTTTATTGTCAAGTTCTTATATTATTTTTAAACACATTTAAAACAGCTAGACATATTAGAAAAACAATAAATACCAAAATAGTTTTAAAACATTTACAGACGTTTTACATTCAATAAACATTAGGTTTACATAAGACAATACAACTCTGTTTAATCAACATGTTTATATTGTAAATGTGTGTTTAAGCTACTGAATCCAATTGATCTCACATGACAATTCCATACCGTACCATAAAGGTAGAATTAATTATGACATAAAGCCATAAATGTACATATGCGATTCAACTCGACTCGATTAACGAAATCTAGAAATACACCCAAATTATTTACACATAACTTTAATCATCATCAGCAGATGTTTGTTTTAGTACGTTTATATTATACCGGATTTAGTTAACCTAGTGGGTTTAAATTTTCAATTCCATTGTATATATGGCAAATAAATCCTCATAAAGTAGGTTAACCCGGTAAAACTTTGTAATGTAAATGCCGTTTTAGTATACATACAAAATTATTAATTTGCGCCAAAAATATTTGTTTGCAATTCGAAAAATGAAAAGAAAAATTACAATTTAAAAATTAGAAATTTATTTTTGCATCCGTTAAATATAAAAACAAACAACATGCGATAACAGTTGCAAATATGGGTACATGTTGAGAGTGTAGTATTTTTTCGTACAAAAACCGCGTTGTATCTCATTAGTATCATGAATTCGATCATGATTTAAAATAAACCCTGCCACACAATGTTTTTAATTTGTATGATAAATCGTGGTAAATTCAACCTAATTAAGAAAATAAAACCTCATTCAGCCTTTAATCATGATTAAATGTTATATGTAAATTCGGTTTAAGGACATATCAATCAGCTGATCGAACCTAACATATGGAAATTGATGTATTTGAAATCTATGTTACTATTAATTGAATACATTGATTTCCATATGTTTGATTTAATGAGCTGATTGGTATGGCCTAATGGTGAATTGTCGCAGTGAAATTTATATGACATATGCGATATGTAATTGACATTTGAAATCGAATGAATTTCGTAAATCTAAACGTACTTTAAAGCGCCCAATACCCTGAAAACTATTTAGGGTGTCGGAAACGTCTTGGAAATTTATGTTGCCATTTATTTTCACGTGCTGTTCTTAATATGTTTATAACAATAAAATAATATATAAAGTACGTTTAAAATTACAAATTGAAAACGTACTTTTCATATGACTACCATAAGGATTACAAACTGAATATTAATAAATAATGTACACCTACAATATAGCGGCACTGCACTGATAAATTAATTGAGTATTATGACTACCTGTAATGAAAAAATAAAAGAAAATAAAGAGAAATCAATTAAAAATGTTAAGTTCTTCTTGGTATAATTAAGAAAGAAAAATAATACAAAACATATATTTACCGTTTTGGATTTTGAAATGATTTTTTTGAGAGGCTTTATCATTTGGTTGTCTGGCTTAAATAATCTTGTTGTTGTTGTGGTTTTATTTTCAGCTAATTAACGAAAAACAGTTTCCATTATTTTATGTGTTGATATGAATTTTGAAGATAGGTGGTGGTGTTGAATATGCTCCAGTAATTTCTTGATAAAAAAGCATGAAGTACAAGTGCTATGCGATTAATCAATGTTTTAATGTGAATTTAATGAAAAACTTCTTTTGACTGCTTTCATCATTAGACATCAAATGGCCGGTGATCCGCCAAATGGTATAGTTGTTGCTGCTGATGATGAATGATGTGTACGTGTGTTTGTTTGCTAGTTTTCAATTTGGATTTTTGGTGAAGTTATTATTTAGTAGTTACTTAGGCTAGGCCATTGCCTGTCTGCTGACCGACTGTTGGGCGCCATCATGTTTTGGCAATCATGTGTTTCATACTATGCCGCATTTTTTTAATATTATTTTACGCTTTCGTGCTGTTGAACTTTTTTGCAGTTTTATGGTGCCCGGTGTTGACTTGGCCTTTGTAAATGTTGGACTAAACGCACTAATGGTCTTGTGACTTTCATGGCTGTATGCTGAACCACCATTGACTTGAGACTGTTGATTTTGTTCCATGTAGGATGCCTGACTTAACTGATGACATTTGGTGGCCAAATAACGAAATACCGATGCCACATTAACATCTTCCTTCACGGAGGTTCTGATTAGTCGGCAATTCAATTCTTGTGCTAGGGATTCAACTTCATCGGCCGTCACGACCGCCTGATCGATGAGATCGATTTTATTCTGTACAATTACGGTGGGTATTTCTTGACATTCATTTTCCACCTTACGCTTCCATTCGCGTATGGCCTCGAATGAGGCCCGATCTGTCGTCGAAAAGGTTAGAACACAGGCCTGAGCACCACGATAATATGCTTTTGTAATGGCATCGAATTCCTCCTGACCAGCTGTATCCCACAACATGATTCGTACATCTTCGCCATCGATTTCGATTTGTCGCTCCAGGAAATCCACACCAATGGTCTTTTTGTAGTCCTTGGTAAAAATGCCCTTGCAGTAGCGTTGAATCATGGACGATTTACCGACTCCGCCATTGCCAACAATAACAACTTTGATGGCGAATTCAATGTCATCCTCGCGCATTGTGTTAAACATTTAAACTTTGGTAGTTTTATTTGCAGGATATAGGACAATTTTATAGTTTTCGATTTTTTTGTGGTTTAAAACAGTTCAATGTCTAAATAAGTATTGCTTTCTTTTTAAATATTCACTCGAATTTATTAAAGCTTCATATCATTCGAATTGGGTCATTCGATCCAAAAAATATAATTTAATTATAGGCTTTTACTCAACATTTTTAATATTAGATTTTCTATTTACTTCGTTATTGACAATTATAACGCGTATTTATTTCATAATCTATTTTTTTTTTTGTTTCAAATATTTTTAAAAATTGTTTTCGTTTTGTTTTTTTGCAACGTTTTTCTCTTCTTCTTCTTAGTGTGTGTTTTATTAAATTACATCACTTTGGTTGTCCCCGCTTTTTATGGTCACTGGAAAAATGTTGAAAAATTAGACGTCTTGAATTTCACTTTTCTTTAATTGTTGAAATCGCATGCGTAAATAACTAGTTTCTGTGCTGGTTATTTTTGTTTTAAATTTTGTGTAACGTTCAATGTGACACTCACACAACGGTATTGACACACTACTGGTGCTGCTGCTGGACTGGGTTGATGTTTGTAGTTGTAACACGAAAAATATTTGTCTATTGCGTCAAATGACAAACTAGTTCTCATCAAAATTCTTACATTTACATGTAAGGTGGCTGTTGGTCTTCTTTTTGCATACAAAAAATGTGGTGGCAATGACGCAGCTAATGGTTGTCAGTTAATTTTTTTATTAATTAGAGCAAGTGTAGTTTTAAGGCACGTTTAGACTATAGCTTTTATCGTGATAATGTGCATTATCCCAATTTATTTGCTAAATCGTGCTGAATTTACCTTGATTTATCATACAAAATTTAATTCACTTAATATCTCGATTAGTTCGAAATCCTATGCTAAATCGACATAATTTCAAATACAATCCTGTTTTTGCATCAAAAAACACTTCACCCAAAAGTATGCCTCAAATTACGTTATACGAAATAAAAATCTGTTTTTTATTCGACTATCTGTCAAATCTTATCTAGTAATATTTCTCATGGTTGGCAACATTGTTCGACGAACTATGCACTTTGACAGTTAATAGGATAGTCAGCTGTGCTAAATGGAGTACCTATTTATTGTGCCATGGCATGATTTTTTTTAATTTGTAATAATTGATACTAATGCCATGTTCTGACGGGTATACGAACAACGTAGTTCGCTCTCAGAATTACGTACATGAATTAACCGGTTCATACAACACTATTCTTAATTCATAACATCAGAGTTTTTTATTTCAAACTTTTTTGTTTCTTGTTTTACACCAAAAATTTAACATATTTTAGTGAATTACATATGGATCTAAATAGAAAAAATAATTATGTTTCTCCTGACTATAGTATGAACCCATATCTATTTACTTTTCATTCATGTTTTCCATTTTTTCTAAAAATGTTGTTGTTTTTAATACATTTTTATATTTTCTCAATTCAAATGTCACATACTGTCACATATAAAAATTTGGAGAATTTTTGTTTGAGTTGCCCCCCATTTGTTTCTTGTTTTGTACGCTAATTAGAACCAAGGGAAAGAAATGCATATTGCATTATGTAGAAAACAAAATTTACATCCTGTATACAATTTTCACTTTTCATTCATCATTTTCAATTTTTCTGAAAAAGTTTGAAAATTTTATAAATATTTTCATGTTGTCAAAATTAATCTATTTTCGATAAATACTCTCAATTGTTAGGGATGGGACAAATTTATTGGTTATTCAGAGAGTGATTCGAATTGAACAACGTACAAAAGTCGGTGTTCGCTCAGACAATTTTGTATGGGGAACTAAGTAATTCCTTCATAATTAAGGGTCGAACAACGAATGAGAGAGCGAACAACGCTCGTCTGTACATGTGCATAAGATATTTTTTTAATAGCTTGCCAAATGTTGACACAGAAGTTCTGAAACCAATGAAATCTTTTGGTCTGTTCCCGCACTGCAAGAATCTACTAGATTTTACTATTTCTTCGATATCATAAAGGAAAATTCGTTATCGTAGTAAAAAGTAGTAGATTCTTGCAGTACGGGAACATACCATTTATGTACATATAAGTAAACAAATAACAGCTAACTGTTAAAGCGGATTTACATATAACATTTAATCAAGATTACAGGCTGAATCAGGGTTTATTTTCTTAATTAGGCTAAATTTACCATTATTAATCATAAAAATTTAAATCATCGTGCGGTAGGGTTTATTTTAAATCATGATCGAAATAATGATACTAATGAGATGCAATGCGGTTTTTGTACGAAAAAATGCAACCGTCTAACAATAGGTGTGTCTGGTTACTTTTCCAGTAATATTTATTTAGAATTTTATTATTTATAGATTTTTTAGGCGACTTTTTGACTTTCCCCTACGATCACAGCATTGCAAAAGTAATGTAATTGTTGTAATTCTTTTCAATTTTGAATTGCAAACAAATATATTTTGGCGCAAATAAATAATTGTGTATGTATACTAACAAACATCAGCTGATCGACATTTAGATCATGATTAAAGTTATGTGTAAACAATTTGGGCGTATTTCTGGAATTCGTAAATCGAGTCGATTCAAAATTGTATATGTAAATAAAATGTTAGAATGCGCTGTTAAAAAATCAGCCGCTGCGTATTGTTAATTTTTATTGTCCATTTTTATATATCCTAAAAGACGTTATAGAGTAGATAAGTTGAAAGATGAAAAGATTATGGCGATAGAAAAATGTGGTTAATTCAACCGTGTCAATTTCCATGGCAATGATTTTGGGTTCTATTTCCGAGAAAAAGGTTAGCGTTTCAATTTCGAATCAATCAAAAAGTTTATTCAGTAGACATGGACAAAGTAGATGTTTGATAGTTTCTGTTCCCTTTTTGTCTTCACATAGACGGCAAGAATCTACCTCATTAATCTAATATTAAGAAAAAGATCTGATTCTGAAGTGGCATGTTATAATCAATATGGTTTTCTTTATTTCTTTTCTGCTACTAAATATTACCGGCCATATAGAATTTGAGGTACTATACCTTCATTCCCCATTCCATCGTTTTGTTAATTTCTCTCCCTAAAACTTGCGGATTTTAACAAAAAAAAAAAAATTAGCTAAGTTAAGGTATAACAGTGTCATTATAGCAATCGATTGACTGCGATCGACATCGGGAAAGCTGGTCAACTACTTCATTTCCCTTAATGCCACTATGGCCTGGAACCCATCAAAGTCCATGAAGTCTGTCAACAGCTCAGGACTCTCTGCTTGGTTTTGTTATTTTAAATTCTTCAAAATTAAGGTATGGGGGAAATATAGTCGCTTAACTTGCTATTGTGGTAGAGTTCGTACTCTCCTGTCAAGTTTAGGACATATGCGTGTCCATAGTGTGAAGTTTGCAATATCCTTCATCCTAAATGCGCTTCTGGTTGCCCGAAAACGAGTTTATAAATCAAGTAGAGGCACCGGTGTCTTCTTTCAGCCGTCTGTATATAATGGCCGATCTCCTAAGAGTATGGGGAAACATAGTCACTTGGAATTCTATTGTGGTGGAGTTCGTGCCCGTAGTGTGAAGTTCACCACGTCCCTATGCCCTTTATTCTAAATGCGTTTTTGGTTGCGTTTCAAGTATGTGAAGATTTATTATCGCATTGCAAGAATACAGAGCAGCATGAGGAGTGCTTCTAGGTGCTCCGGATATAAGGATTGTTGCCGACCTTTGCACACTACTTATTTGGACGTTCTCGCCTCAGTGCCTCCTACCAGACCACAAAGTCAGTGTATGATGTGTGCCGTCTCCAGTTCTTCCCCATTGAGTTCTTGCAAATACAGTGCTATTAGACATTTTCTTGTGCGCTAAACGGAGGTCTAAAATGGCGCCATGTTATTTGGCCTCCAAAGAGAGTTACAAAGCTACTCCATATATTGTAGGAAAATAGAAGTCCGTCTTTGCGGGATTGACTCCAAGACAATTTCTTGGCGCCCAAACCGACAAGCGTACTAATGCGCCCATCATAATGTCTGATTTTTTTGGTAACCATTTTTAGCTAATCAGCACTATCACACATCGTCGGCATAAGCCACTATTTCCGTTCGCATTTGGTCAAAGTTAACAAGAATGTCGTTATAACTAGAAGCCGAAGCAAGGGTGACACCCCGACATGTATTGAAAAACCTTGGTGCTCTCCACAATATTTGCATTGATTATCCTGTTTTTGTTAATGAAAGCAAAGTGGATAAATTCCAACTTTACGTTGTTGAAAGCTCTCTGTATATCGAGAAAATCTACCAACGTGAAGTTGAAGTTCCCCTAATTTCTCTAAATACGCCCACGTACTTCATGTAAAGCAGTATCTAAAGATTTGCCTATGATGTCGGCGTGCTGCTTGCTAATTTTATTTAAGTTTAATGATTTTCTGAGATAAAAATCTAATAACCGTTCCATTGTTTTCAAAAGAATAGACGAAATGCTAATTGTCCTGTAGTTTTTCGGTAAAGTGTGACTAGATTTCCCCACCTTGGGAATGAAGGTCACCTTTACTTCTCTCCACAGAATGAATGATAACCTTAGACAGGTACCGAAAATCTCCCTCAGTGTTATTAAAGCTTGAGGTATTTAATACAGAACGATGATTCAAACAAGGTGACAGTTTGTCGTGTGATCCTTTTAACATCCTGCTGGAGAAGGTCATACGAGAGGCAAAGGTGAACATAAATGGCACTATGTGCACCAAACAACATTTGTTACTCGCCTACGCTGATGAAATCGACATAATGGGTCGAACATTGCGAGCGGTAACAGCCGCCTTCGAACAAAGTGAGGAGTCTGCCAAAGTGGGTCTGACAGTAAAGGGCGAGAAGACCAAGCTGATGTTATCAACTCGCAAGAGGTCCAGTAGATTCGATTCAAAATCATGGACTATACCTAGAGTTTATAATTGCAGAGTTTGTAATTTCCTGTCAAGTTTAGGAAATTTGCGTGCCCGTAGTG